TTGTTGGGATTTTGTTCGAGAATGCAAGAGTGTTTAGACCTGTGGAGGATGTAATTAGTCGATGATTGGTGCACCCGACCCGAGACGAGGACCGCCCCCGGCCTCCCAAAAAACGTAGACGCCAACCGCGACCTACGCGCATCTTTTGCATTTATGCCTCTGAAACTTGCCACAGGAGATCTCAGTTTGACCTGGAACTCCACTACAAATCCCAAAAATCCTTGGCACACCCCTTTATCGCACTTCCGGGCCCCCATCCCACTCCGATCAGGAAGTCGTGCTGGCCGTGAGGTTGGGCGTCACACAGGAAGGGGTAGAAGCACCAGAGGTACTTACCTGTCTATGGTGGCAGCCATCTTTATGACCTTGGTGGGTGCTGCAGTAGGAAGGCCCCAGCTGGGGTAGAGCTACACCAAGAAGCTTCGAGGCAGAGTCAAGCATTGCGGCTTGAGCTAGAGCAGCCATAGCTGCTTTGCGTTGTCCTTTGGACATCAGGGCCAGGCCCAAGTAGTCCGCCATAGCCTCGGCCTATGAGAGTGAAAAGTGAGGGAGGTGGCCATGGCTATGGTGGACCTCAAGTGATACCTGCAGTAGAAGAGGAACTCGGACATTGATTCTGGATCAGCCATTCAACATTGTATTATTATTTCTTGTATGAATAAGTGAGGGGGAGATAAGGAGGAGGAGAGTGTTGGGCGAAGAAGAAGAGCCTTGTCATTTGTCTATGCTGGTGTACATACTAGGTACCAAATCCCCATTTCCCCAAAAAAAAAAGGGTTCCCGGACAGTCACACATGCTGAACATCTGCCAAAATTCTCAAAAGGGGTGACCATTTGTCAGCGGCCTGCGAAGCAGCAGGGGGAGGAAATTTGCGGTGACCTCTGGAGGTTACCGCAAATTCTCAAATATTTTTCTGAATTATCTTGCATTATTGGAAAAAAATGGAACCCCACGATATTAGCGGCCTATCAATTGACGAAAACGAATTTTGGGAAAATGGGCGCACGCGCGGAGCGGTCAGACGCGCGTGTCCCTTTTTTTGGTGCGAACGGCCAGCAGTCAAGACCCCCCCCCAAAAAAAAGGAAAAAAGCAGATTATAAAAAACGAAAAATTGCATTTCCCTTTTGGGTATCCAGCTTGTGACCGGCATCCTGCACAAGCACCTCGAAGAGCACTATGTAGCGACCTTGTCTTTAGCGTTTTGGGAACGCAGTGTGACCGGCCAGGGCCCTCAAAACGGCCGTTCCCATTTTCCCATTTTCTGGGAATTTGGGTACCTAGTGTGAGCGTGCCCTTACTTCTTCTTCTCCTTCTTCTAATCCTCTCTCTCCTCTCAAGTTCATTCATTTCTTTCTGCAATTGGATGGCATTGTACTATCTGATGGCCAGGATCATAACACAAGTATTCGGCACCACCGCACTTACACTCGAAAACAAAGCTGGGAAGCAGCTTCAAGAGCTGTCATATGGGGGCTAGATTCTTCAAGAGTGAGTCATCGCTGCACTCACTCTTGACGGATGCTCTTGAATTTCCTTTTCAAGAGGTGTCAGAAGGCCCAATTCTGACAGCTCTTGAAGTGTTCAAGTGTGCCTGCCTGCAAGGGTGGGTTTTTTAAGGATGGTTGGCCCGACCCTTCATGAGCTCTTCAGCTTTCAAGAGCGGGCCTCCAGTCTGGGCGGCAAAGCAGCTTTGTGAACATTTCTCTTGTCTGAGAACTCTTGATCTACGCTTGAACTTTTTTGTGAGTCAAGGGCAGTGCAGCGGGGCCCTATGTTTAATCAGTATGAATGCATCTGGCAGCCCAGATACGTGATGCATGTTGTACAGTGGAGCGAGGGCCAATGAAAGAAGGAAGAGAGTGCCTCGCTCCCCCAAATAGAATACGTGCCACTGGTCCTCTCTCTTGTGTAAAAAAACAAATAAAATATATGCGGTCATTATATCTGTATCTATACAGAAAGCGACTCCTCAGGAGCAGCCACCAGCTGCTGGGTCTGGAAAAAGGGCCCGCAGGCCTTCGGCTGTAAGCTTAGCTGGATGATGCTTCCAGTAGCAACTTTTTTTTTTTTTTTTTTTTTTTTTTTTTTGGTTCTGGTGTTCTCGGGATACAAATCGAGTAAGGTTCTCCCGCCTTCCCCCCCACCCGCAAAAAAACAGAAAGTCAAAGCTGGAAGGAAAAAGAAAAAAAAAAGAAAAAGGAGTGGACTTCTCGTCAGCAGCACCTGGCCAATTTTTTCTGTTTTTTTATTGGGAAACCAGGCCAATAATTGAGGGTCTCAAACAAGTGAAAGGTGAAAGAGAAAAAGGAAGAAAAAGAGCGTGAGGAGTGGAGCTTTTGGTCAGCAGCACCTTGCCACCTACCTGTGCAGCGGGTGTCCAGCTGCGCCTGGCCAATTATGGAGGGGCTGCATTCCATGCCCTTGGGGTTGGCCTCCAGCAGGTTGTGGTGACGACTTCGAGTTGGGCCGGAGACCCTGCAAAGTGTACGTGACCGCTCCTGTTGTAGCGGACGCCGGAGCCGGGCTTGAATCGCTCCTGCGCAGTACACAAGGAAAGGATTTTGCACAGAAAATGATACATCCACCTGGCACGGACAATACATTTGTCCTATCCACACCTCGATGGATGTACATGCAGTTTATGCATAATCTTTTCCAGAGTGGAATGAGTCTTTTTCGACAAGAAAAACGACACACAGAGAGAGAGAGAGAGAGAGAGAGAGAGAGAGAGAGAGAGAGAGGGGCACGCGGTGGGGATGGAACAAAAGACACAGAACGAGCCGGGGAGGTGGCATGTGCACCCGTGGCGGCACCAGTGGGCATCCACACACACACACGCACACACAGAGAGAGAGAGAGAGAGAGAGAGAGAGAGAGAGAGAGAGAGAGAGAGAGAGAGAGAGAGAGAGAGAGAGAGAAGAGTGGGTGACAGCAATGAACAGGCAGACAGGGAGAGTCTCCATGCAGCAGAAAGTCTCGACCAGGGAGCCCGGCAAGGACTGAAGCGTGCAATGCGGAGTTGAAGCAGCGGCGGCGGCCATCACCTCGACCGCAAGTTTTGGACTTTGCGATTGAAGTTGCGACTTAGGGCCTCGCTCGCCACACCACTCTCGAAATGTGGAAAAGAAAAAAATGTGGCGGGTGCATCTGGCCATGTTCTAGCAGGAAGTTCATTCTCATTTTGCACACTTCGAGAGTGGCGTGGCGATGCCCTTAGCCTCTTCGTGAGTTGACTTCTCCTCCCGTCTTCTTGCCTCTTCTCATCGTTTTTTTTGGTCTCCCGGACTCTCTCCCCCACCTCTTCCCATCTCTCCTCCATCTTTTCCCATCTCTCCTCGCGCTTGCCTGTCACGTTTGCCTTGCCAGTCACGCTCGCTGGTGCTTTCCGGCCGTGACTGTGGATTCATTACTCGTAAGGTCAGTGATGGCTACAGGTAAGGCATAACCGGCAGACAGACGCATCCGTGGTGTCACGCAGGGCATACTCACACTAGGACTTTTTTTACTTATTTGGGAGCGGAATTGCGGCCAGATGCATCCAGTTGCGGCTGGAAATGCGGTCAGATACATTTAAGATAGTGCTTGTGTGAGCACTCCCTCAACGCGTCCCACAAGAGGTCTTGCGTCCGGCCGTGAACTGGTTTGTCAAGGATTCCGCAGCCCCGCTGCCCCCCGCGGGCCCGCCTTTTTTTTTTTCTTTCTCAATTCTATGGACAGCTCCGCCTTTTTTTTTTTTTTCATTAACTCGTCATCTCTCCGTCGATGAATGGCAGATAATTGCGCTAAGGGCCTCGCCACACCACTCTCGAAATGTGAAAAAGACAAAATGTGGCGGGTGCATCTGGCCATGTTCTAGCGGGAAGTTCATTCTCGTTTTGCACATTTCGAGAGTGGTGTGGCGATGCCATAAGTCACTGTTCGTCGTGTTCACCTCGGTTCGTCGGGCAGTTTAGGTCTCTTCCCCTTAGATTATGATTACTCTGATTATCATTATTATTATTATTATTATTATTATTATTATTATTATAATTATTATTATATTATTATTATTATTATTACTACTATTATTATTATTATTATTATTTCTATTGCTATTATTATTCTGAAAGATCTTGTATGTGTGTCTGTGAGTGCGTTCCGCAGCTCGGAGGAATACCGGTCGACGTTATTCTCAGACCTCTGTATTGCTCTGATTGCCGCCCCACACCGAGCGAAGACGACGATTTCTCTTTTTTTGTGTTTTTCAGCGAACGAAGACGAAGATCACGAGCACTCCAGGACCGAATCGTGCGTGCATTGACTCACTTTTTTTTTTTCTCAGCGAGCGAAGACAAAGACCACGAGCACTGCCGGACCGAAGACGAAGAGCACGAGCCCAGGTATCACCACCCGAGCGCCTCCGAATCTCCGATCTATGTCCTCTGATCAGATCAATTAAGAAAGATCGGAGACATCCGTGGTCCTCTCTCTCTCTCTCTCTCTGTGTGTGTGTATATATATATATATCATATATATATATATATATCATATATACATATATATATATATATGATATATAGATATATATGATATATATATATATACATATATATATATATCATATATATCTATATATCGTCACAAACAGAACTGCCCGGTAAACCGTTGGCAGAGACAGAGAAGAAGACGACAAACGAGGGGCTGTGACAAACTGTTTCGTCGGAGTTTCACCGACTCATCAGGAGGCTGAACCCTCAACAGTCTGCAGAATCCCCTCACTGATTACACTGTAAATGATAGTCTACCTTAACCAATATAATATATATATATATATATATCGTATATATAAATATACAGATATCGAGATAGACATAGAGAGAGAGAGTGGTTCAGCCTCCTGATGAGTCGGTGAAACTCCGACGAAAGTGTGTCACAGCCCCTCGTTTGTTGTCCCCTACTCCCTCTCTGCCTGCCTACGGTTTACCGAGCAGCTCTGTTTGACTATATATAGATATAGATATAGATGTAGAGATAGAGATAGATATAGATATAGATATAGTTGCGATCTAGTGTTTGTTTCGTCCTTTCTCTATTTCAGCCATCCATGTCGGAGTCGCAGCCGGGCTTGATGGACTGTCTCAATGACACCAACGAATATACGTCGCGCTGTCTTCCGAGCTCAGAGCTCGAGGATAAAGAGCGATGGGTCGGGTACGTGGTCGTGGTTGCGTTAATCTTCGGCGGCGGGATATGGCTTAAATGCTTCGGGGAGTGGCGGTGCGAGGGATACCTGGGAGATCGGGTGCTCATGTCCGACATTCTCTTAGTGGCAGCGCTACTACTCATGTGCGTAATCGGCTTCGTTTGCAAATATTGCGGCAATTGCTGTATGAGAATAGCACAGATACCGTTATGTTCGCTGTTCATTGTGTACGTGGCCTGCTTTCTGGCGCTGCTCTACTACACAATCTTCGCCTTTGTCGTCACGCAGAGTCGGGGAGCGGGATCTGACTGGCTGCGGAATAGGTGGAACGATGGCTACTGGAGCGCGATCGGGACGTGCCTTTACGACGATCGCAACCTGTGCAAGCTCGACAAGTCGCCCCGCTCCGCGTACCCGGAAGAAAGCATCGGGCTCCCGACTGGACAAGCGCAGGGAGGAGGGCGGTATCCGCCGCCGCCGCCCCGCGCGGGCGCGCAGACCAGCGCCGGGCTGCCCCATCGACCTGTGCAAGCCGGAGGAAGGAGGCTGCTCGCGGCCTTCGCACCATCATCATCATCATCATCACCATCACCAGCAGCAGCAGCAGAGGCGAGCACTGCTGCTGGGTCGACTGGGCTGCTCCGCCCATCCGATCCAGTGCACCGAGCTGATGACATGTCCCGTTTGCAGAGGAGCTGCTGCGCCATGCCTGTTGGGTGTGCAGATAGCCTAGCAGCAGACGGCAGCGGCGTGTACTATACGAAGAAGAAGAATGGCACCGCACGGGGAAGTAGTAGTATGCCTCCCCCTTTGACTTCAGACTGCGACCGATTCAACAACAGCGATTATAAGAACCCCCTGTGCTTCGGGTGCGACGATTGTAAGGAAGCGTTCGAGGCCAATGTGAAGAAAGCATGGCGTTATTTCGCCATTTACAAGATAGTCTGGTTGGCGGTCTTTGCGGCGCCAATCTGCGCTGCGATTCTGGGAAGGGAGGAGGCAGCCTAGGCAAAAAAACGCGCCAAGGAAGCTCATCAGTCGCAGTTGGAGGCGGGGGAATGAGGGCAAGCGGCGGGGGCGAAAAACCGTAGACACCTTTCTTGACCTTCTGGCTAAGATCAAGTATAGGCGCTGCTAGATGTGTCTGCTCATATCAGCACACCTAGCAACCGTCCGGGTTGTTTTAAAAAAAAAAAAAAAAAAAAAAAAAAAAAAACTATCTGTTCTGATCAGTTTAATTTCTGATCCGTGGTCCATCGGGTCACATGATATTAAATAATTTTTTTGAGGGCTACGGAGGGGTCGTAGGGGTAGGCTTGCCTACTCGACCCTTTCCAGCGTTGCCTCCGAATTGCACTGCAGCGGAGCGTGGCGCGGCCCATTCGCGCATCCGAAAGCTGGCGCCCGGGGCTTTGGGGGAAGGCGGGTTAGCGCAGCGAGCCGCTCGCTACCAGTGGCTGCACGCTGTGTCATAATTTCGACTTGGGGCCTCGCTGCACTACTCTCCRAATGTGCGAAATGAGACCGAATCTTCCGCTAGAACTTGGAAAGATACATTTCCATCTTTTTTCATCTTTTTTTGTCTTTTGTGCACGTGGAGAGTAGTGCAGCGAGGCCCTTGCCGTGACGAAGTCGAGCAGGGATTAGGGCCGCGCGTGGGCGCTGGCTCGCAGATCGTCTTGGGGTTGGGGCAGCACTGCAACGCTCCCGCCATATCCCCGTCCCCAGGTCGGCGGTAGCTGGCAATCCCGATAAGACGACGTCAGGAAGGAGGGAGATGTGTGGTGGTCAGACGGGCACGCGGGATCTGGGCGCCGCCCTATGTATATATATGACGATATATATAGATAACATACATATATATATCTGCCTACGGTTTACCGGGCAGTTCTATTTGTGACGATATATATATATAAATATCTATATATATATATATATATAACTTGTCAGGTGCTTCGCCGGCTGGCTTCGATACGAAGACAGAAGATGGAGGCTTGCTTGCGTCGAGAATCGATTCGTGTGCTGGCGGAGGCAGAGTGACTCCTCAGGGAGCTGCCGAGTGCGGAGGGTGCGACGTTGGACACCTTCATAATTTGGTCGTGCACGTGAGATGAGGACGAAATGTGAATTGCTTATTGTTTTGCTTGCTGGTGACCCCGCCGTGGAATTGTCCTGCAGCACCCCGACGCGTGGGATTGTCCTGCAGCACCCCGACGCCGTGGGATTCTCCCGCCGCCGGATCATCTCCATCGCGTCTTGCTATGGAGTCTGGACGGCTTCGTTGGTGGGACAGAATCGACTGCGCCGTGCGTTGGCGTTGCTGTGTTTCATGATTGACTGGCCGTGTTGGCACTCCGTCGCGTTCACGCTTGTTATGTTATGGACCTTATGGTCACTCCGTGTGGCTTCCGGTGGCGCAGCCGTAGAATAATCCTTTTTTTTTTTTTTTCCTTTTATTTATTTAGCCGTTGAATAATCCTCACGGCAACGCCAATCGGAACAAAACCTAAAAACTATTGTTGTATTAAACGGGGGAAGGATCCTACAGATATATAGTACTGGCTCTATTGTCAGTCAGGAATGATTATTTAGGGCATTGTGATTGGTTGGGGTATAATCGTGTTTGGATATTTGTGGTGTTGCTTGGTTAAAAAATTAGTGTCACCCTAGCTTTGGGCAAGTACGGGATTGCAATTAGAGCTTACCAGTAACATTAGAAGAGACAGGGTAGTGTGCGTACATAAGGGCCTCGCCACACCACTATCGAAACATGAATTTTCGTGAGTTTCGCATCGCCACACAGCCTATCGAAAAATACAGCTTTGAAATTCTTCGATAGGTGTCAGACATCGGAATTCCATAGCCCTATCGAACAAACTGTGAACCCCCACCTGCAATGGCCTTCTTTTCGACAGCCTCCTTTCCCGACTATCGAAATACTGCCCACCCACGCTCTAGACAACAGGACCTGCACACAGACGACAGACAGTCGAAAGCGGACACGGAACGGAAAACATTCGATTCTACAGTGCTGTATGGGGTTTATATCGAAGTCCGGACTATCAAATTTTTCTGACACCTATCGGAAAAAAAACGCGATTCGATAGGGGTGTGGCGAGCCCCTAAGACTTAGATAGAGAGTTAGATCAGATTCGGGTGTGTGGGAAAACGAGTAGGTAGGGTTGGACAGAGGAAAACAGATGCTGGGCATTATGGTTATATTAGAAGTTTTATACAGAGAGTACGGGTAGTGTTTATAGGATTTGCACCTTTCCTTTAAAAAAGTTCCTTGCAGGTTGTATGAAGGGTAAGTGAAACGGTTTTCACCTTTCCGGTAGCAGATGCAGTTCGGAGGGCTCGATCCCCAGACCTTTGCCCTCACCCGTGTACAGTGTCAGCTAACCCGTGCGAGCTTGAACCCGCCACCTGTGTCTTTAAAGTCTACCGTTTGCTCGCTGTAGGTAGTGTGGTCGTCGGGTCTTGAACAGTAGGTCTGTAGGTTAGGAATCTTGGCAGTGATAGGAGTTGTAGCTGCTACAGTCCCCCAAAGGTCAAGGTCGTTGCAGTTGACCCGTGCGAGCTTAAACCCGCCACCTGTGTCTTTAAAGTCTACCTTTTGCTTGCTGTAGGTAGTGTGGTAGTCGGGTCTTGAACAGTAGGTCTGTAGGCTAGGAATCTTGGCAGTGATAGGAGTGGTAGCTGCTACAGTCCCCAAAAGGTGAAGGTCGTAGCTGCTACAGTGTCGTAAGGTCAAGTTGACAGCCTTCGGGAGCTTTCGGAAGCGACCTACGAATAGGTCTTAGGAGGTAGACCGCAGGCAAGTGGGCAAGTGGGCAAGTGGGCAGACTAACTCTGGTCAGTCAGCGGTACCCAGTCCCGGTCACACTTTGTCGAGTCAGCAAGTACCATGTGCGACTGTCTACACCCGGGCCCAGGGTCCGAAAAGCAGACCTTTGACAATCCCAAGTATAAATGAAGAGGCAGCGTCAACTCATGGATTCATTCTGCCTGCAAGTACCATGTGGGACTGTGTGCACTTGGGCCCAGTGTCCGAAAGGCAGACCTTGGGCAATCCCAAGTATAAATCAAGAGGCACCGTCAACTCGTGGATCCATTCTGCCTGTGAGCGGTGCGGAAGCGCTGCCGGAGTGTCTTGTGTACGGAGGTCTGCAGCAGGTGGCCGTTGTCGAAGAGGGAAAAGAGGAGGAAGGCCGGCCATAGCAGATAGCTAGTTAGTGGTAGGAGAGAGACGGCGGCCATAGCCGCCACGGCAGCAAGATTAGAGTGTTAGTGTGTGGATGTGTGTAGAGTGTGTGTGTGTGTGTGTGTGTGTGTGTGTGTGTGTGTGTGTGCGTGACGTCCAGGGAGATCCAGAGATGTGTGTGTACGAACGAGATGCGGCCATAGCCCAACAAGACAAGTTTGAATGTGAACTGTGTTTGTGGCTTCGTTATCTCTGAGCTTTGTGTGTGGGCGCTAGTCGACAGCTTGTTCGTCATCTGTTTGCGCCCATGCTGAATGTCGAAAATGGCAAGTCTGATTGCATTGGTATCAAAGCTGCTTCCCGCTGTTCATCTCTCTTCCAGGGGCCATGTATGATCTGTAAGGAACCAGTGCTCTGCATTCTACCCCAGGTACCGTCCTGCTCTTCCTGCTATTTACCCATTCTCAGCTTTTCTCTTTACTGCTTACGACATAAGCGTCGATAAGACCATTAAGATCGAGGATCTATTTTCCGTCGCTTCTGATGAATCTATCTCGTTGGGATTAGGGGCTCGTTCCACACTCCTCGGGCGCATAAAGTCCCTGAGGAATTGTTCTTTCCACCTATCCTCGGGGATGCAGTCGGAAAAAAATAAAATGAAAACGCTCCGAAGGAAATTCGTTGGGCTCTGAGGATTCCCCAGCCACGGAGAGCAGAGGGCACACGGGTAGAGAGACGGTACAACCGAGAATCTGGATCGTGGTGGCACCCTATTGGCTGAAGGCCTCAAGCACATTTGATTTTTTTTTTCTTTGGGGGAAGTACGTTTATGTCACCTTGGAGTATGAATAGGCAAAAAAAAACATCGCCTCGGCAAAGAAAACCGCACCGAGTTCGAAAAGGCAACGGAAGTACCAACGGCCGTGGTGTCAGACCGGGTGTCATATTTACAGGGGTCGGCCGTGGTGTCAGAGGGGAAAACAAAAGAAAAAAGAAAATGGCCAACGGTTACTTTTGGACCGTGATCGCTCGTTTCGAGTTAGAGCGTGCTTTCTTTGCCGACGCGTGTTTTTTGTGCCTTTAGAGTTTGAAAACATGCCACGTCCGCCGTTGTTTCTTTTTCTTTTCTTTTTTCTTTTCCTTCATCGCTCGAAGGAAATGTCCTCGGGTGACGTCCCTGAGGACAGGTGGAACGAAGGGCCCAAATTTCCTTGAGAGCTCCAAGGAAATTTTCCTTTTGCCCGAGGATTCCCCAAGGAGTGTAGAACGAGCCCCTTAGTCTGATGTAATGTAATGGGAAAGTAGGTACGTGTGGAGAGTTGTTTGCACACATAAGTTTTTTAGCACAAATGTTTGTGAGTTTGTCGCCAAGTGCATATAATTGGAACATCTGTAGTTGCATACATGCGCGCAAGAGAGAGAGAGAGAGAGAGAGAGAGAGAGAGAGAGAGAGAGAGAGAGAGAGAGAGAGAGAGAGAAGAGAATGCGTGATTGAGAGAAGGAGAAGGGACGGATCAGGTATGATGTCTATGATGGATGGGTGATGATGATAAACGCGTGATGGAACAGCTTCCTACCTTATTGCCCCGAATAAAACGCACGGTCATTATAGCTGTATTTAGACTGAAAGATACCTCAAATACAGCTATAATGACCGTGCGTTGTATTCGGGGGAAGAAGGTAGTAGTTAAGTGGGCAGTAAGAACTTGACAAAGTCTATAATCATGGTGTACTAATTATTCGGGGAAAAGTCATAAAACCTCCCTCCCCGCAACGAAACCCTTGTATCCATTTCCATTTCCCCCCATAACGGCAGGGAAAAGGTGCCGCAAGGCCCCAAAATCACTTCAAGGCGTCATTTTTGCACCCGCAAAACCATTTTTACACAGTGGCCGTTACCGGCCCAGCCCAAAAATGACACCAAGAGGGATTTTGGGACCTGCGGCACCTTTTTTTTCTCGTTTGGGGGGAAATGGATACAACGGTTTCGTCGCCGGGAGGGAGGTTTTCTTATGACTTTTCCCAATTATTTGAGTAGGCGAGGTACAGTTTTGCTCCATGTTGGATGTGCAGAGCACGGGACGCGGCTCTTCCGCTTCCTTGCTGCCCATTCTTCCTCTTACCTTAATTAAGGGCTCTGGCCATTCTTCCTCTTACCTTAAGGGCGGCCTTTTGGCTAAGTAGGATAAAGTGCACTGTAGCTGTTCTGATCAGTGGTCCATAGGGCAACATAAAAAAGAAATTAAAAAATAAAAAAAGGGCTTCTCTTGGATATCACGGTGACTCCACGCATATCCGCGACGACCCCATTTAATCCCCAGCTCACCACGTTGGGATTCTGTTGCAATTATGGTGGGTAAAGAAGGGGATAGAGGGGTCCTTCGGGACATCCGTTAAAATTGGAACGATAGAGAGAAAAAAAAAAAGGAAAAAAAAGGAGGGGGATAGATGGAGAGAGCTGATCGTGAATGAAGGAAAGGGTCACGCGAAAAGGAAGAAGATCATCCACCTCCCTCGCAGCCCTGGAAGAATGTCTGAGCGCATATGAGCTGGCCTCAGAAACGAGGGTCAGCTGGCGGAAGTCCGTAGCTCTTACCCCTGAGGGCCAACCCCTCGCTCTAGACCTGGGCATTCCGGTCAAACAGAAATCTGAATCTGAGCGATACCCGGGCATCCAAGTCTCATTCGGAAACCCAACAGACACCCAAGCATCCATAACGGAGAACAGAATCCGCGATGCCTGTGCTAGCTGGTCAAAGACTCACTTTCTCTCGCTGTTCGGTACGGCGATGATCATTAATACCTTTATTACATCTAAAATCTGGTATATTCTATCTATCCGTACACTGTCTCTGGAGTCTGCAGCTAATATCAGGAGACTCCTAACAAAGCTACTTTGGAAAGGAGATTCTGAAGCCTCCTCAGCCCTCAGCAAAGTTAGCTGGAATAAGATCACAAAAAAACGGAAAGATAGGGGTCTGGGGATCCTCGACCCTCAGACACAGAACAGAGCTCTACTGGCCAAATGGCCAATAAGAGCACTTACCGCTAAAAAACAAACCCCCTGGATTCTCCTTCTGCAACACTTCCTAGCAACAGTATGGAACCTTTCCGACCCTGAAGCAGTCTGGCTGTTGCATACCGTATAGCTGCAGACCAGAACAAGAACCGACCTTTCAATACAAAGTATGAGATAGCACAGCGGAAGACTTAGAAACCAGCGATCCGCACAATCAATGTTGTAATGCAGCCCTGAACATACATC